AGTGATTACTACACATCCATCGCATATGGTTATAGATGCCTTGGTGAGTTTCACATTTCCAACAAGTCACAGAATCATAGGATCATAGAGCTGGAAGAGGCCTCATGGGCCTCATGAGTGTTGTTCAAGTCTTTATATATTTTTGATAGTTTTGTCAGAGTTAAATGCAATCTGTGCATTATTTTCTTGAAATTCTCTTGAGCATGGCTAACCTAAAACATGAAATGGAAGTCACCAGCTATTACTGTCTCTTCTGCCCTGATCCAAGAGAAGATGTATATACAAACCATCATAAATTACACATTTGTAGGTCTCCGACATAATTCAGGCCAATGTATTTACCTATCTTTTACTTTACAGGTGAAAAAAAGCCCCAGCATTTGCAGGGCAATTACTGTACTATGGACAGATGGCATGTGGGAAAGGATTAAAGAACAGTTTAAGTCTTCTGCCTTAAAAGATGTGCTTTTTTAAAACAAAGAAACACTTTTGGATTGCAGTGTCTGGCTGTAAAAAACGATTTATTTGGGAGCAGTGCTAATTAAAGCCAATGGGGATGGGATTTGCTTTTGAGTAAGCATTCTTAAAATCGAACTACACATTTATTTTAATGTCTATTTCACAGAAATATAAGGGTCAGGAGATGAGAAGGAAGGATTGAAAAGCAGTGGTAAAACCGAAATGTAAGATTTGTTCTTCTTTGCTTTCAAATAACATCTTGAGTAACGGGCACCTTTTTTTAGACAAGGTTGACCGGGGTTAACATAGGAAGTGCACTAGGACCTAGAGGAAACACTTTTGCACATCCACCCTCTACTTTCCTCTAGAAAGAAAAATATTATCCACAGAAACAGAAACACACAAAGACACAAAAATGAGTCTGGGCTAAAGATAAATGACAATGACATGACTTTCCCCCAATTTAATAAAGTAAAATATTCAGAAATATTGTTAAACGATTACTCTCACCAAGTGATTTTGTATAGCAGATTCAGGTCATATATTTTGGTTTACCCTAAAAGCTCATGAATCCAATCTACAATATCATTTCTGTTTTTAATTATTTCTATACTACCTGTCTGTGGCTTCTGCTTCCCTTGCCAATAATCTCCCAAGACCAGATTTAATATCATATTTTAGCAAGTAATTGTACCCAGCAATTTACAAAATATCCATTATGCAGTCATGCTTATTGCTGTCTGAATGGAAGGGAGTGGAATGCATTCCTTTATGGGGATGTAACATTTCACATGTTTCTCTTCACTTCCTTTCAAGTTTAGTAGACAGACTGTTGAGAGAGAATTTTGCCCATTTCCCCTATAACAGCATCACTCAGAGTCAACCAATGAGCTAGATCCATACTTAGGCATATTTAAATGACAGATATTGAAATCAATGAAAGTTAAGTGAGACAAATTTAAGTCAATTGATTCAGTCTTTTCAGAGATTGGAAATGTTATTTTTATATTACAAATCTGAGTATCGTCAGACAGGATTGGCATTGCCTGTTAAGGGATTCTGACAGGTTTTGGTACAATGTCTGAATGTAATTCTTACCATCAACTAGAGCTGACATTTTGTCTCAATTGAACTTATAGAAGTAGTGGCCAGCTCTCTTGGATCTCCAACCCATTCATAGTTACAGGTCCATCTACACAACACCATTGCTTGGTGGTTTCCCAACTTCTTCACAGATTTCTCTCCCATTCTCAAAAGTTGAACTATCCCCCCCTAAGAGACATTTATGGACATAATTAGCAATATCTTTAGGCTAAAATATCCTCTAATTGTTTTGATTAGTCCTTCTACCTTTAGCTTCATTAAATTATCTGAAAGTTATTTTTTTCTTCATATTAAAGGAATTCCCCACTCTTGTTCTATCCCTTTTCTTCCATTATCAAATAAATATATTTGTAGAGATAGATATTTTTTGTGTCAGGAGCAACTTGAGAAATTACAGGTCACTTCTGGTGTGAGATAATTGGCTGTCTGCAAGGATGTTGCCCAGGAGATGCCTGAGTGTTTGATGTTTTACCTTGTGGGAGGCTTCTCTCATGTCCCCGCATAGGGAGCTGGGGCTGACAAAGGGACTTCAACCTGTTCTTTCTGGATTTGAACCACTGACCTGTTGGTCAGCAGTCCTGCCAGCACAAGGGTTTGACCCATTGCTCCCCTGGGAGATAGATGGCAGAAAGGCAGACAGAAGTAGCTTAGAAAAGTGGTTCTCAACCTGTGGTCCTTGGTGTTTGAAAGTCAACTCACCAGCATGACTAAACTCAAGAGATTCTGGGATTCCCTTTTAAAGATTTTTTAAAAAGTTGACAAGAAGGTGAGGTTTGAATATATAATATCATTGTTAGTAGTAAATACAATGGAGCCTCATTTATCCAACATAAATGGGCCGGCAGAATGTTGGATAAGCGAAAATGTTGGATAATAAGGGATTAATGAAAAGCCTATTAAATGTCAAATTATTTTATGATTTTACAAATTAAGCACCAAAACATAATGTTTTACAACAAGTAGACAGAAAAAGCAGTTCAATACATGGTAATATTCTGTAGTTAATTACTGTATTTACAAATTTAGCACCAAAAACATAGCAGTGTATTAAAACAGCTGTGGATCTGGGTAGGAGGCAGACTGCGTTGGATAATACAGAATGTTGGATGAGTGAAGGTTGGATAAGTGAGACTCTACTGTACATGAATGGAGATTGCTGGCTGGCTGATGTGTACAATTTTGCTACAGAGTGCAGGGATTTTGTATAATGTATATTTCTCTCTGTCAGTATACTTTAGAAATGTCATGATGGTTGTCAAGGAAAGGGTACTTGAATAAGAAAGCCCCTGAGTCTGAAATCACAGGGGGAACAGAAGCTGCAGAACTTCCTGATTCTCACTTGGGTCAGCAGTAGAGTGCCCTGGGAATAGCTTCTCTTGTGGGATATTGTTGCTTCTACTTCCTGTCTTGGCTGAAAGTAGGAAGTAAAGACAGGCAATGAAATAATAAGCAAACTCTTGTGAACCACTTCCATTACCAAAACAGAAAAACACCCTGGGTTAATTGGGGTTGTCCGATATCTATATATAACTTTGCAACTGTCTGTGTGTACCCGTGCTTTTGCTCCGGATTTCATCACAAGGAAGGCAAACCAATTCTGCAGCAGGACCATCACCTGTCACACATCATCGCAACACCTCCTCCCCACACTTAACTCACCCCTGCTGTGGATGCCAATACAGTCATGTTCCCATCACCTACCCTTTGCAGTGGGCCTGTCCTGCTCCTATGCCAGATGCTAGCAGTGAAGTGAAGTCAGAGGGAGAGAGTCTGCTCCCATTATTCTCCATCATTATTCTTGAGTGGTTTATATAACACTTTACTCTAGCATTTGACTTTTTTTTGTTAACCACTGCTGGAACTGTGAAATTTGTTTCATTTGGCCAGCTAACATCTCCCAGCAGGCCCGTAGCCAGGATTTCGTTTCGGGGGGGGGGGGGCTGAAGCCCCTCGAGCCCCCCCCCCTGGCTACATGCCTGCCTCCCAGCAAAGGATTCCCCCAGAGAGGAATCAGCCAGTCTTTGAAGGTGCAAGGCCACTCAATGCTAATCAAGTGGCCAATTGCAGCATTCACACTGCATTCAAACAGACAAGTTTTTTTCTCTCTCACCTTGGACATTCCACAGATATATAAACATCACTTGCCTAGTTTGCAACAGAACCCACACCTCTGAGGATGCCTGCCATAGATGTGGGGAAAACCTCAGGAAGGAATGCTTCTGGAACATGGCCATACAGCCTGGAAAACTCACAGCAACCAAAATGAAAATTCCTTGAAATTGCAAGATCCTAGAAGAACTTGATTCCGTTTGCCTAATATAAAAGTCTTGTAGACATAGTAGCCCTAAAGAATACCACTGAGGATATTCTTAAAATTATGTAGGAGGCACTGGCTACACTTGAAACTGGAGAAAGCTTCTGTAATTTTAATGGCTTTACAGAGAAGACAATTTCTTCAGGTTTTTCTTGTCACATAACCAGATAACAAGCAACACCTGCTTAAATTCCCTCCTCTGCACATCTCTTAAGGTACAGGAGCCACCTCCAGTTTTCACTTTGACAACCCTAGGCCTAAGTCACAAAGATGTCTCTGTCTCGCCCTGCTTAAATCCACAGTTATAAAAAAGCAGGCAGCAAAATAGCAGTGATCACCTGACCACATCTAGCTCCTTGATTGTTTTTGGCATAAGTCTACCTAGAGGGGTGGAGAAAAAGGGTAAGATAGGGCTGATTATCCATAATTGACAGAGCTGGCTCCAATAGCAGATGGGTTGTAGCATGTGACAGGTCTAGCTTGGAGGCAGGCTGGTTAGATGCCACCTTATTAAAAAGAAGAACACACAAGAATGGAATGATAGGCTTTCAAACACATCAGATGCAGGCATGAAATAACTGGTCTCTGAAACATTAGAAATCATTTCTACACATCTTTGCCCCAATCCATTCAAGATTCAAGATAAACATGTTGCAGCACTCAGGCTGTGTCAACACTTTGGTAACCACATGGTTGTTTAAAAACGCCACACCTGGGAATGCATGACTAGGGGAAATTGGGTCCTCAAGATGTTTTGGTCTACAAATCTCATGATCCCTTATTATTGACCATAAGTGTGATAAAGATTGATACACAACACATGTTATTCCATAATTAAACTAGTGCTATTGTGGCAGAACAGCAGGCTCATATGATAAAATCCATACTATTAGAATATGTTCTTACTTCTAACACTATCAACAAAAACCATAGAGACCACAGGAAATCAAAGTGGAATGCTCAGTTGTATTTTACCCCATCTGGGTTGTTTATTTTTGGTGTTGTATGTGTTTACGTCTCTGTGTACATGAGCCCCAAGCTGCCTAAATTGTCTGATTAATCTCCATATGCCAAGATCCTGTTTTTGCTCTGGGTGCCGGCAATTGAGCCTTTTCATCTTAAGGAAGTTGTTTGTCGTCTGCTCTGAAAATAACCACAGCAGGAATTGGGCTGTATTTTTAGGACACAGGATGGACCATGGACATGCCTTGTGCCTTCTGGTATGGGATTGTTGGCTTCCTATTGCTCTACAAAGCTTTGGTAAGTAGGTCAGAGAAAAGGCATCAACAACGATTACCTAAAATAAAATGTCACCTAAAGGTTACATTTCCCACTGTGACAAATATCCTGCATCTTTATCATGGCGATACACTGCTGAGAAAGAATTAATACACAGGGCATTTTGCTTTGATCCTTATACACAGATGCTACATGTAAAATATATATTTGATTGTATGCAATTATGTGTAATTTAAAACATTTAACTGAATTAATAAATGTAATTAATTTTAATTTAAATATAATGTTTTAGCAGTGCAGATATCATTCTAATTGCTGTACTTACCTACATATGACTACATTGTGTAGAACTGAATGTATTTAAATTTCATTGTGTGTGTGTGTTGTACACGTATGTAGCATTTAAATTTAATTAGAAGTGTTAGTCTATTTATATTCAACTTGTGAAAATTTAAATGGTTCAATGGCTCTATTCTAATTTATTCGAGCTCATAAACACCATCTTCATTTAATTAATTTTTCCATACTTTTTCTTTTTGGGCATGGGCAGTCAAAGTTGCTTTACAAGAATAGTAAAACTATACAGTGAAAAATTGTTGCTGTTAACTGCCATCAAGTTGTCTTTGACTCACGGTGACTCCATGAACGAGAAACCTCCAAATCATGCTTTTGCTAAAAGCCCTGTCAGGCCTTGCAGACTTAGGGTCATGAGTTCCTTGATTGAATCTATCAGTCTTCAGTCTGATCTTTCTGTCTTCTTGCTGCTTTTACCTTACCAAGAATCATTGTCTTTTCTAGTGAGTCATTCCTTCTCACTAGAGAAACTCCCTCCTGGGCACACAGAAGATTGGGCGACCTGGAAGGCACTCCAACAGGTTGCGTTCTGGCACCACGAGATGCAGAGCTAACCTTGAGAAATGGGGCTACAATTAGTAGAAAACAGAAAGAAGGTGGGAAAAGAATATGGCCCTTTCCTTTAATCATCTTTAAAACCAAACTGTTCCAATATCTTGTGTGTTTTTCCTCATCAACAGCTTTTACCATCTTGACTGCAGTTTGATTTTGCTTTGCTGTGGATTCTAATTTTCTGTTGTGAAATGTTGCTGGGCATATATAGAGCTTGTTAGTTGATGTGACTTTGGACTTCATCACATGCAATAAAATCAGTAAGAAAGATCCAGAACCCCATAGCTAATGATTGCAGATTACTGAATATCCCGTTGCTAAAAAGTTATAATGGAAACAACTTCTTTTGCTATTACAATACTGGCAGGACCTTAATACATGGCCTACTAGATGCCAATGCAAGTTATTATGCTGTTAGCCTGGTGGAAGATACTGTACATACAATCCCTTTCTCAGGCATTCAGTATTTATTTTGTGGTTCTCATCCAATCTCAGATCAGGAAGTAGTGAACTCTGGGAACAAGTTATAAAAAGAAAGACATTCTGTCGTCTCTTCAGAGGGTTAAAAGTCATCTCCATTTCAAATCCACAGTATTGCTTTGGACCAAATTCTTTTTTGTGCACGAACAATTTTTCCTCTGGGGAGGGAAAGCAATGTTCACGATAAAACTGTTCACGATCATGATGAGACTTGGCTTTTATCAGTTTCTTATGTTTCCATATTCATTCAAATTATCCCCATCCCACTTTTCTTTTCCAGTTTTCATATATCAACTATTCTTCTCATCAGCATCACTAAAACCTACAAAATTTGGCAAGAGATACCTGTCAACATAGAAAATTGAATGTAAACATCAAACCAGCATTTTCACTTATATTTGAATAAGATCAACACATTATAGCTTTACATGTATAAATGGAAACCTATTTCTATTGTTTTAGATAGCTGTTGATGAAAGAGAAGTAGCAAGAGAACACGTAGCAGCCATTTATTCTCATCAGTGAAAAAACACACAATTCCTTGGAGATGTGCTGGACCAAATATAAAAGGAAACAAATACCAGGGAGAGATACAAATGTTTTTGGCTGCAGTGTTGCCAAAAACATTTATACAGTGAGAAATGTTGTTAAAAGTTTTCAAAACATTTTTATAAAGTTTATGAAGAAATCAGCCAAGGTCAAGTTCTTCTTAATCCCCTTGATTTAAGTGAAGTACAGCAGAGAAGAGCCTGCATGGTACAATGGTTTGAGTGGAAGACTCGAGTGGATCTACACTGATTCAATATCATGGGTCCCATCTAGTGTGGCTATACTAGATTAGTTCTGGGATGTGCTACACATGCAGTTCCTCAGCTGCTGCTGAAGCAGAAGGAAGTGACTACAATCTAGCAATGCCAACCTAGTTCGATAATGCCTGATGGCCACCATTTCTATTCCCATCCATTCTCTGTATCACAGAGGTTTCGGCATGATCCCTTTTGTTTGATTGCTGCCTGGAGTGATGTTGACCAGGGTAATGAGGGAGAATAAAGAGGAGGAATAATTCCCTTCTCTCCCTCCTCTCTTCCGAAACCACTCCATCACCCCAAACAACATCACAGTAGGCAACATTTGACTGGTGGGATTCATATCACAGTTGAAAACCACAATGACATGGAAAATGGGAAGGTATAAGTGCCATGCCATGTCTGCAGGCTGCCCATACCTGGGAGACACAGGATGGCAGTGTAAACAGTTCCAGTCAGTACCCCTTCAGAAATGGGCTCAAAGTTGGAAGATACTCTGAATTTTGGCCCAGGATAAAAAGTATCCCCTGACTTTTAGTAAACATGAATCAAGGCTGTGTAAAGGTGCTCTTGTCTTGCATTGCCCTGGACCAGCTCTGCGAAGCATTTGGCTACTATGAAGCTGATTTGGGCCCTTCAACATTAAGTGGCTAGGGTAGGCATGCTGTAGGATTCTGGGAGAACAGAATTAAATCCTCATTCAGCCACAGAAAGATGTTGGTAACTTTAGGAAAATCATGTGCTTAGCCTCAGAGGAAGCAGTGGTAAGACTGCTTTGAACAAATCTTGTGAAGAAAACTCCATGATAGGTTTGCCTTAGGACTGCCATAAGTAAAAAATGAATTGAAGATATAAAACAACAACAACAACAACAGTCCATGGATTCATGTGCTCTGTGCCTGTGTCATGTAAACCAGAGTGGGAATCATGTGGTCCTCCAGGGTCAATGGTAAATCTCAGCACTCCACCAGGATAGCCAAATGTGAGGAATGCTGGAAGCTGCCACATTTCTGTTTCTAAGGTAGCCCCTTTTCTCAGTAAGTTAGCGCATGTATGTGAAACTAATTATACTTTCCAGATTTGTGACTTCATTTTATTTCTGCAGTGGAATAATTGGTCCTTAGGAGAAAGATGGTGCAGCCGTATCCAAGACTATCCAGGAATTGATTATTCAATTGCAATTTGAATTGAAGTTCAATATTGTGATGTAAAACAACTGAAAATGTTGATCCCTTGTGGAGAAATGCCAAGGTAAGTTTTTATAAAAGTAAAAAAAATGTGGCAAAACCAGACTATGTGTCATATAGTTCTATCAAATGAAATATAATCTTATTACATTAAGAACAAGACATGCTTCTGAATGAGTCTCAGTTATATGAGGATGAGCTAGAATGGCTATACTTTATAAATAACTAAAGAGCAAGGCATTGCATTTTTCTTTAGGTTTTGTTAAATCTGCACTCATGTGCAAAACAGCATATGTAAATTTTATGAAAATCATGAACCTCTTTTATGCTCAATTTTCAGCAGAAGACTAGTGATAAAAATATCTGACACAATTGTCTTCAGTCTAGAAAAGCTTGTGCTAGAAATTTTTCTCATTTTCAAAGTTCTACTGGATTCTTTCATGGATTTTCAATGCACAGATATTTTAAAACATTCTTGCTTGTTTGCTTCCACTATGAAGGGAAAAAACAAGGCTAATTCCTACTGGGATACATTAAGCCAAGATAGGTGTCTGAACTCATCCACGGCACTTGGTAAATGATCAGAGATACTCCTAGAAAAGTTGAAAGATTTTTTATTTTTTTTCATAAAGGAATTACATACTGTAATTAAAACAAAGAAACAAGTTTGGGTGGGAAGAACTCTTCCAGTTTTCAATTCCAGATTTCTAATGCAGATAAAAGCAATTGTTCTCTCTTGCTCAAGGTGAAATGAGCACTGATTCATCTGAATGAATAAAATGGCTAAATACTCTTGATTGTTTATATAGCAGTGGATTGACATGGAAAGCACACTGCCAAATCCTTTCTGAAGAACACTGGCAATGAAGTTATTGTCATTGCCAATGGAATGCCAGAGGAATGATTTCCTTCTGCTTGTTGCTCTTGCTGGGCATCACGGGCATCATGGATGCAGCAAATTATCTACCATTATACCATTGAGTCCACTGCTGTGAAAATGAAAGAGCAGGACTCTAGTCATAGAGCCAAAGAGTTGGAAGAGACCTCATGGGGCATCCAAACCAACCCCCTGCCAAGAAGCAGTAAATTGCCCTCAAAGCACCCCCGACAGATGGCCTTCCAGCCTCTGTTTAAAAGAAAGAGCCTCCACCACACTCCGGGGCAGAGAGTTCCACTGCTGAACAGCTCTCACAGTCAGGAAGTTCTTCCTCGTGTTCAGATGGAATCTCCTTTCCTGTAGTTTGAAGTCATTGTTCCGCGTCCTAATCTCCAGGGCAGCAGAAAACAAGCCTGCTCCCTATGACTTCCCCTCACATATTTTCCCATGGCCATCATGTCTCCTCTTAGTCTTCTCTTCTGAAGGCTAAACATGCCCAACTCTTGAAGCTGCTCCTCATAGGGCTTGTTCTCCAGACCCTTGATCATTTTAGTCGCCCTCCACATTTCAGCTTGTCAACATCTCCCTTCAATTATGGTGCCCAGAATTGGACAAGTATTCCAGGTGTGTTCTGAGCAAGGCAGGATAGAGAGGTAGCATAACTTCCCTGGATCTAGACACTATACTCCTATTTATACAGGCCAAAATCACATTGTTGGCCCATGTTTAACTTGAGTGGAAGGTTCAGCCTACAGACCAACTCTCCTTGATGGCAGCTGCACCTCACTGCCCCCTCCCACCAGCGGCCGGCAAGGAGGAGGTGAAAAGGTGGGCATGAGACTTTGGCTCCTTCAGAGTGAAAGGTGCAGTCTACAGACCAACTCTCCTCTGTGGCAGCTACACCTTGCTGCCCGCTCTTGTATAGTATAAATGGCAGTAGGAATGAGTTTAATTTTGCTGTTTACAGATTTACGTTTTTCTTGGACAGGCCTTCAAACAGAATATCATCAAATATAGGAGATATGAAATTGTGCAGAGTAATGGCTGGAAGGGTGATTTCCAAAAAAGGAAAAAGCATTTAAAATGGAAGTAATATTTCCAGGATTTCAGCAGATCAGAAGCTTCTAGTACTAGCAATAGAACACTTGGGCTTAAGCAATTCAAGAGCAGAGTTAAACTTTATTCAAAGATCTACATTACTAAATGGGAAAGTTAACAGGGCACAGCTATGTAACTAACTAACTCACAGATGACATCTTGTCTCTCCCATGTGCACAGGAGAAGAACAAAAAGTAGAACAAAATGGAGAACTTATGTGCTCAGAAAAAAGGGTGTTTCTGAGAAGTAAGAAAGGTGATAGGAGGAAAGAACAGTGACAGGCAGACAGAGAGGCTAATGTGGAAAGCGCTTTTCTCTACCAGCTAACTCATCTGCTTTTCAAAGTTCATTACGAGGACTACTAAGTCCATGCTGAGTTCCAATTGGAGGTAGTATTATGTGGACCACTTACAATGGGTTCAAGGTGAGTACATTTTATTTAGCTCATGTAGGCAAATTATAAACTCCAGGATTCTGTAGGGTGCAGCCAAGATAGTTAAAGGGTGATCAAAGTGCTCTAATTGTGTAGTGCGAAAGAGACCTCAGTTACTTTCAAGCCCTGTTCTCAGCCTCCCTTCTCTCGCCAGATGATTTCACTGGGTTGTGATTACTGGGTTGGGAAAGTAGAAAAGAAAGGGAGGAAAAGGTTTTGTTTTTTTTTAAACCCAAACCTGCAGGTTTTAATTTAAAACAAAATAAACACAGCCTCAGACATTAATCTTCTGTGATTGCTTGACAATTAATTTGTGTGATTCATGAAGCTATGCTCGTTTCCTGGTCAGTTTTATGGGACAGCAGGAAATATTTCTGGAAGGATGCCCACTGTCCCATAGTACCCCCAGGGGGTCATCCTTCATAAAACCTCAACACAGGCATTCCTCCAATCCAGGGGTCCTCAAAAATTACAAGACGAGGACCAGTTCACGGTCCCTCAGAATGCTTGGGGGAGGGGGGGTGAACTATACTTTTTAAAAAAAATTAATAAATTCCTATGCACACTGCACATACCTTATTTGTAGTGCAAAATAACATGAAGAACAATAAAATATTTAAAATTTGGAACAATTTTAACCAACACAAAATTACCAGTATTTCAGCGGGAAGTGTGGGCCTGCTTTTGGCTGATGGGATAGTCAAGTTAATTAGGATTTTGTTGTTGTTGTGTGCCTTCAAGTTGTTTCAGATTTAGAGTGACTGACCCTAAGTCTAAAGTTTAGGGCGGAGGCTGGGGAAATGACCTTGGAGGGCTATTTGGGGACTCCTACTCCGATCAATGCAGTTTTCTGCAGCTCATTGCCATGTATTGTTGGCAAAGAGTCATCTACTTCTGGCAATCAGAGTTGGGTTGTATGTTTGCAGGTCTGAGAAAGCCCTGTATATCCAGCATTTGTTTTTCTCTGTAGGCTATACATGATATTGATTTGATTGTGTGTTTTGATTATGTGGTCCTGCATGGCAGGAGAACTGGCTCTTGTAGTCTCTTCCAGCTCAGGGAGTTAAGTCTGAGAAGGTATCCAGTATGTGTGATTTCAACTGCTTTTTAATGTTAGGAGAAAGTGAATATGAACAATAGTGGATGTCAGAAGGATTAACAACCAAACAGAGTGCAACCAATAGGGCTAAATCCAATGGTTTGTCCCAACCAGAGTAGCCTCACTGAACACATATGAATTCAATATTTAGGTAAGAATAGGTGGAGTGCAACATATTTAAAATTCATAGCTAAAGCACTCCTATTTCATTTCTATTGTCATGGTTCAGTTCTGGGAGGGATATTTAAAAGTTTTGGGAGGTGTATTTAAAACTTTCAGCCAGAGTGCTTTAGTGTCTCACCAAACTACAGTTGCCAGGATGCCATGGGATGGGACTACGGCAGTTAAAGTGGCCCTATAATTATGTATTGTAGTGTGAATGGGCCCATAATCCCATTGTGTCTGCTCTAGTTCAGGCTCAACAGTTAAACTTACCCCACAGCAATATCTCCCATTTACAAGTAAATATGACTTAGGCCCCATCTGCACTGACCATTTAATGCAGTTAGTTAGCTTCAAACTGCAGTGGCCAGACAACAAACTTCAACCAAGCACATGAAAGAAAGTTCTTCATATGCACCACCGCTTCGTGGTTTGTGTAATTAATTACCACCCAGGCTTAAAAGTGGTTCCAGCCTTTCTTATAAAATTATCTGCACAGTAAAAACACTTTTTTCAATACTGTTTTGAAACTCCATTAAATAATCAGTGTAGCCGTGCCTTAAATTGGGAAAATGCAATTTTTCCAATGGAGGGGAAGGACTAACAACAACTTCCCTGATCCCATACCTCACTGCAATCCACAAGGGCTTTTACTGCTTTAAAAGATAAACTTAATTGCAAATTTGCTAATCTTCATGTCTAGTTTGTTCCTAATTTACAGAGTGATATGAAATTCTTTGGGTAGCCATAAGTCAGCAGATAACATAGGCACACAATAAAAAAAAATGTAATAACCTGCAAGTTGCAAAACCCCAGAACTACAATGAGGGTTTGCAACTGGCAGATCTGCATAAATGACAACAAATATATTTATGGCACCCCATACTGTAGCTGTATTTTTTTTTTAATCACGCTCTGCATTGGTCAAGTTTCCCTTCTCTAAATTGGAGGAATGCTGATCCCTTTAAATATTGTTTAAAATGAATCCAGAAAGGGGGAATTAATATGAGTATGCTCAGTGCCCTGCTTCTTATAAAACATATTTTCTCTTTCAGGAAGAAATACTTTGAGTAGTTCATATTGCATCAGGGCAGGGTGGGGGTAGAATAAACATCTTCTGTCTATTTATGACTTCAAATTAGACTGAATATGATGAAGTATGTGCCCTGTCTCCATTTTTCTGGGCATTAGTGCTCCTTCGATATACGTATATGAATCATGTTGCCTGTTGATTTATGGCAACCCCATCAATTTTGCAGGATTTTCTTAGGCGAGGGATACTCAGAGGTACTGACCTGGGTTGATCCTGTTTAGCTTTCAAGATCAGACAGGTAAAAAGGCATGATGACCAGCACCAAAAAATGAACAAACATAGGAATAGAGTCTAAATGAATCTAAGTTGCTAGGACTGGATGAACATCCAAGGGTTAAAAGAATTGGTAGGAGTAATTTGTGATGTCTCCTTCTCTGGAGAGGCTGGATGGCCATCTGCCGAGGTGCCAGCAAAGGGAGTGGTCCAGGATGAGAGGGCTTGTAAGCTGTAACACCTGTAGGGCACCACTTTTCTTACCCCTGTCTTTTGCAGGCTAAAAACATCTTTTAAAAATAAATATTTTACATATGTGTAGAAAACATTAGATGGAGCAAAATGAGGCAGGCCTTAGAATAACCACAAAGAACGCCTTCTTTTTGGTCCACCCCTTTTCCAAAATGTGCTTCAGATATTTTGGACAGGCTGCTATGGAGAAGATTTGGCTGAAAAAAGGCATAGAAGAAAAAGAAAGAAAAAAAAGATAGGTCACAGATAGCTGTGCAATCTGCATAAGACCATTTATATGTATAGGTTCAGAAATAATTGCTATAATGTAAGGAGAACACAATGTATGGCAGGAACTGTTCTGTGATATTTGTCTGGTGTTCTGGTATACTGTGGCTAGTTAGCTAGAAATATACCATATCTCCTGTTCAGTAGTTATTCTTAAACCATTCAAAATGATCAAATAGATGACTGCCTTTGTAGAACAATTCACTTCTATATATAGGAGCCATCCATTCCCAGAGATTCATGTAAAGATACAGATAACTTTAATGTTCATAGTTGGATCTATGAACAAGAGGTGAAAATAAGCAAGAACTAAACCCAATATAAAACCATAAACGAATGAAATTGTCTGAAGGAGAGATTCAAACTCTCCCAAAATCCCGAATAAGAATAGAATCACATCTACAGAGAAAAACCTTCACACCAGAATCAGACAGGACTGATAATGTTATGTGTGTATATGCTACTGCTGGTTACTTCCTATTTCAGTAGCAATAAGCCAAGAAGGGCGAAGCACAAAACACCATGTCAATGAGATGAGAGAAAGCATTTCACAACAAATCCAGCATGGATGTGTGGTTCTGCACATTCTCTGCAGAGACTGGATATAACTCTGGGTCCAAAGAATAGTAAAGAACAGTTTCCAATTATGTTTCACTCCAAACCTCTTACAATCTAGATTTTCTTCCCTAACATTTCCCATTGTGTGGTAACAATAACAAATTTACAGAGGAAATCTGATATGTGCAGATGTAAATAGAAGATATGCGTGTTTGTGTATTTTATTGCAGAATCACTATTGGGCTGTGCCGAGTCAAGTCAGGTCTCTCACTCAAAAGGTTTTACACTTTGGACACGAGGAGTAAAGTGAAAGAAGTAGAGGAAGCAGCATCAAACAGGGCAACAAGGTATGCACCTACCTTGTAGAATTAATGCAGTGTGACACCTCTTTAACTGTTATGGCTCAATGCTATGGGGTAATGGAAGTTGTAGTTCTACAAGGTCTTTAAGCTTCTTTGCCAAAGAGTGCTGGTGCCTCACCATACTACACTTTTCATGATCCATGTCATTGAGCCATGGCAGTTGGGGTGCCGAACTGCATTCTGCAATTAATCTGAACTTGTTGTTCAGATAGACATGAACAAGTTGGTCATTTAGAACAGGGCTTCCTCAGTTATATGTTGTGGAGGAGCAACAATTATTATTATTATTATTATTATTATTATTATTATTATTATTATTGTTATTCAGGGACTGGCTTCATATTTGTGAACGCCAGATGCAATTGTTTCTTCTATGCATGGAAATTCACCAGGAAGTCATGATATGGGCCCTCACCATGTTGCAACTAGGGGTCTACAACAGGCTTTTTCTAAGTAACAGGGAGGATCAGAACCTTTTCTGTTACAGTTGCCACAAGTTAATTGGGTGTGTGTAACGATAGCCAGAGCCCAAGGGAATAATTCTTAACTAATATATTCCCTGGCACACACACCCACACGTTCCTTCGGCTGTTATATTGCTCACAGCTGGTCACCAATGTAAACTGGACTAAAGACCATTCAGCTGTTGGCACCAATTTGAAGGATCAGAGTAGAGTATTTTATTTTCTAAGGCTCCAACTGGACACCTGTCACAAAGCTCGATGTGTATTGAGGAATTATTGCCACCACTCAAATAGATTTGAGAATTTAACTTGATGTTATGCCTGAGATAAAGCTTGTTGTTTCCCAGCCCTTCCTTTAACTCCCTATAAAGTGTCTGAGGTTGAAAGATGTTAGAGATTACTGGAACAGACCTAATGAAATGAATCAATGGGATGACTTTATGGAAAGTTGAACTAGAACAAAGTTTATTTATATATATTGGAACAAACAACTGAATTCTTCTTAGAGTTACACAAGCGTATATGGTTAGCACAGCACAATCTTCTCAACCGGTTTCTGAGTCCTACCAAGCTTACTGGACTTCCTAACTGGGTATCTGTTCGTCAACATGAGCAATTTCCCTCTGACAGACTAAACCTATCTGTCCCCTCAGTATATCTAGCTTTCCTAGAATACCCTGTCCTTTAGAGTGTACAAACAACCAGTGTGTTTTCACCCACACCAGTTCACAGGCGGCTATTGACCCTCCAGGCCACTCTATAGCCACACCTGCCTTAAAACACTCTCCCTCAGGAAATCTTCAGCTCATTCGAAAAGCCACCCTCTCCCTTAAATCAAAATCCAATCTCCCTCTATGTCAGAAGCTGCCTGCCTTTTTTACACTCACAGCTCCAGCTCCTCCCATCTGTCCTAGCCAATCCTGGGATAGCTAAACTCCTCCCCTCTGCTGATCTGACTCTCCTGGTATTTCCCTCACTAACATGGAGGCCGGCTTACTGACTTTTAGGCTTCGGCTTTGGCCTACAAAGGTATGAGTCCATTACAGTGTGTTATCTGCTCCAGCATATAACAAGGAACTAGGTTTGCAAGATTTGAGCTGTGCATTTGATTCGTTTGAGCTGAAGAAACCTTTGGCTGTTGCTGGGAGCAGTTATGCAGCATCCTGAAGCTGAAGACTGAATCTATTTGGAGTGCTAAGGAAACTGCTTGTTTATGGCAAGATAAGGACATTCTGCTGATAACTAAGTAGCGTTTGCATGTCGTCATGTAAAGAAGGCTTACCAGAGATATTGTTTGTGTATATTGGTGAGAACAATTCTTCTGTTTTGCTTTGTGTTTTTGGTCTCCAGTGAATAGAACTATACTTTTATTATACTTAAAGCAACAGACTCATGTGTATTTTTTAGCTTTTATCACACTGAGAGTAAAAGGGGCTGAGACATTCTGTGGGCTACTAACACTATTCTGACACACCAGTCCATGGACAAGCACCAGTTCATGGATCACTGTTTCACTGATAACATTTGGTAGGTATAGTACAAACATAGTGCTTTGCTTCTAGCTTCTAGCTACCCTTAAACTTTATGTGAGCACCCTGTACCTGACAGGACCTGCTTATTTTCATAATTGCACTGCACACATAGCTGAAGTTGCTGATCTAATATGCTAAAAGTGTAATTATTGCTACATATACAGCCAGCAGTAAATTACTACCCTTTGGGAGCTAAGGGAAAACAGAGGAAACAGTGTGACTCAGAAGTAGTTTCTGAGTCAACATGCTTCCTAAGGCTATTCTCTGGATGCTATCTTTAGCATCTAACAATTGGTTTGACCAACCTTTGTTCTTGATGGTCAAACCTTTGCAGAGAGAGAGGGAGAACTGGACACAACTAAATCAGCAGCTTCTTCCAGGATTAACTTTTCATACAAAGCAATACAGTGCACAAAAAGAAGCAGTGTGCTTATATTTTGAAATATAGTAATAGTAAAATAAGTGTAGAAAAATAATGCATCTGCAAAAAACCAATTGGCATTGTGGTTCATACAGACAGTCCATTTCAGTCCATTTATGGGTATCTGTTCATGGTATGAACACAAGAACTCTTATTTGTGGGTATTTAAACTCTCATTAATCTACATCCAAGACTTGCTTCTGTTACAGTTGATTATCCTTCTTAAAATGGAATTTCATCACATTACATTTTGGAGTTACAAGTCCCTGAACCCTGCAGGGAAAATGGAAGATTGCTCCCTACATATTTTTTGATAGTTGATAGCAAATTGAAACATTATTATGATTCACTATTATTTATTCATTTGCATCTTGGCTTTCAAAGGTGGAAACAAATGTAGATTACATACAAAAACACCTAAAACATAAACAAATTCTTTTAAAATATAATTGACAAATCTAGAGAATTAAAACTACATATGTGCATTAAAAACAAGAGAAAAATCAACTCAAGTATTAGTTGAGGTAAAATCATATATGTACCACCTCTGAATGCCTGATTCCAGGTTATGTGTCAAGGGTATATGAATCGGTTCTGAGATATTGTTCTATATGAACAAAAATTTCTAAGGTCCTTACACACCTTCATTTTTTTCAGTGTTTTTAATGAGAGTCTGAACTCATTTCTAAAACATAATATTCCTCCCTATTTGGATACTATTGGCCCACACTCTCTATCCTGAGAGTTTTCCTGTATAACCGACTACTGAAACTACCTTATTAAATCCAACTGGCCTCCTTACTTGCTTAAAGTAAGTAAAGTAAGTAAGTAAGTATATCAGAATATATCTGGTGAGCATGGTACGGCCAGCTCTAAGAGCAATTGTAATGCTTTCATCATCTACATCTTGCTTTATGAAAGAAAACTCATAATTCTTCTCTACTTACTTATTCTGGGCTTAATCTCATCAGCAATGACTCCCTGGGGCAATAAAAGAGTTGGCAAAATAGATACTTCAATTTCCTGGAAGGTCAAATTGTTGCAGACCCCTCTTCCATCCCTAATGGATTATAATAAAGGAGACTGAAACAGTAGGCTGTAACCTTTTCTTAACTTTATAGCTCATGGGAATTGAAACTATTTTTTATTTTCTTTCAAGTAATAAAATGGGTTTTTTTTAAAAAAAGAAACATGAAGGTCCTGGGAATGTGAGATATTGCTTAAGAAGTCGAATGGCTGCCCCTGTGTGCTCAGGCAAACCATAAGATGCTTCACATTTGCAAGATTGTTAGAAAATAGATTTTCTGAGGAAGAGGGAGAGAAAATAAAGGAAGACAGTCATCTTAGATCGACAGGGTATGTCTATTATTCAAAACGTGCTTTATTCACTGTTGACGCTTTCTGTGTTTATCATCTTTAGAGCTCAAGAGGCCCTGCTGCCAGTATTTTTGGGATGAAATGCAAAAACGTTTAAGTTTGGAATCAGGAGGTATTGAGATTTCTTTGCTGCAGTACTGCTGAGATGGCATATTGTAGCCTGTTGCTTTAATATACATTAATTGTGACATCTTCAAACAATAAGGGTTCCTAGTGGATGATTTTAACAAGATCTAGGCAGGCATTGAAGGCCAAGCCCAGAGCCTCCTTAGTTAAAGTCAAATGGGGTGCTTTCAGACTAAACTTAAACCCACTTTGGAGTGGGTTTAAGTCCCCAAAAGAAGAGGGCTTTCCCAAAGGTTGTCCCCATTCCAGCATGGTCACTACCTCTCCCCCCAAAATCCTTATTTTTTTAAAAAAAACTTATCAGTTTGCCTTCAAGCTGCTTTGGTAGCTCTCCTGGCATGTAAAAATCACATGCCAAGAGAGGGGAGGGGGAGGAGAAATTTGCCCTCCCCCACCTCCTGGTGCATCATTTTTACATGCCAGGAGGGATGCTGGAGCAGCCTCATGGCAACCTGGTAAGATTTTATTTTATTTTAAGGATTCTAGGGGGGCTTTGGGAAAGGAGTGGTTGTCCTCTTCACTTCTCTGGGCTCATGGAGTCTGAAGAAGTAACTTGGGATGTGGGAACAGACTATTGGGATTGCAGAAGCATACCCAGTAGTCTGTCCACACAGGGTCCACACCCCATTAGACCCGAACCTTTCAGGATGGCCTGGGTCTAATAGGGTATCTAAATAATTTGGGGCAAAGTAGAGTTTGCCTGCTTTGTCTCAAGTTATTCCTCTTTTATTTGAGGTATTGTTTGGACACCTCAGGTAAAAGTCGGACAGGGCTCGCATTTTGGTCCCTGCATGGAAGGGCCCACAGATTTTGTGAACTGGGGCAGAACTCAATGACTCAGAATCCAAATATGCCACTTGCCTCCAACCAATCAATATTTCCAAAGAGTGATTTTTTTTCAAAGTTTTGTACCCATGCTCCTAGTAGAAGTGAGATTTGAGGGGCAGAACCCAATGATTGCTGGCAGAGCTAGAAACAGTTTTTGGTTGAGCCCTACACAAATGTTAGCAATTTACCAAAGAGTACAGCTGCAAAGTTGCAGAGCATAAGCACAGAGAGGAGACAGAATGCTCCAATACTAGCTTGATTGCATGTTAGCGGTTCTTGCATGTAGCCACAAGGAGAGCCGGGTAATGAATTGTTGTTTTTGTTGATTAAATCAAGTGGGGAACAGTAGGTGTCTTCCAGATTTTGTTGTACCATCAGCCAGAATAGCCAGTTAATGTCCTGCTGCATATTTCACCACCCCATGAATGAGTCGAGGTTGCTGGGCACACATGACAGGACCCAGGCTGGCTCCCTCCTTCCCTCTTGAGTTTCCAGTGAGCAAGTAAAACTATGTTGTTTCACATAGCTTTTAGTCCTTAGAATTGGGAATGTCTGCTGGAGGTTTTTTTTTTTAATTATCTATTGTTTCTAAACTATTCTTTAAGAAATTGTTTTGGTTTTTTAAAAAAAAATTAATGTTTTTATTTTTATTTTTAATATTTTAACTGCTTTAATCTTATATACATTGCTTCGGGAGAGCTGAGATTGGATTGTCAAGTGCTTTAAAGATGTTAAACTGAACATTTTATCCCATCTTTAGGGCTTCAGGTGCTCACCTCAGCTTAAATACAAAGTTTAATTCAACACAGTACTCTCCATATGTCTCTGTCCCATGTTTCATAGTATGCCATCTGATATGTAATTTCAGCTTCTGCAGTTTTGGGTTTGAGGTCCTGGCATGCCTAGACTCCGAAGGATTGAATCAGACACAAACGCATTGAAGGCAAAGAACAGAGACTTTATTCACTCGTCCAAGTGGATGTCCGAACTCTCAAGACATAGAGGCAATAGATATTAGGCCTGGGCGGTTTCGTTCGTTAATTTTGTAATTCGTTAAATATTCGTTATTTTTAGCAATTACAAAATGAATACAAAACATTTTTTCAAACCCGGAAGGGTTTTTCAATAACGAAACGGCATCCTCCATCCTTTTTACGAGCTTCCGCCCGTTTTGGAAATGGGATGGAGGATGCTGGTGCCTGGGAGCCAATCCGGCGCTCCCAAGCACCCAAGCAGTGCACCGTGGCTGATTTTGATTGGCCGGGAAGCCCTTTAAAAGCGGCTCCGCGTGGCCGCTTTGCTCATTGTTGCGGAGGCGAGGGAGAAGGGAGGTCCGGGAGGGCGGCTTGCATTGGCTTGCATTGGCTTGCATTGGCTTGGCTTCAGGCTTGGTTGGCTAAGCTGGATTTCCTTGCATTGATTCCTTAATTCCTTAATTCTGTTGTTGGGAGAGCGAGGGCGGTTTTTGTTAATTTGTTAATTTTCCATTTTTAAATATTTTTGAAAAATACCTTTCTTTTATTCTTAAAAAAAATCAAAAAATATTCTAAAAAAAGGAAAGAATCTTGTGTGCCTGTGTGTGTGTTTCCCCCTGTCTTGTGGCTGTTGGCTCCACAGCGGGGAGAGCATTTTGTTAAGTTTCCATTTTTAAATATTTTTGAAAAATACCTTTCTTTTATTCTTAAAAAAAATAAAAAAATATTCTAAAAAAAGGAAAGAATCTTGTGTGCCTGTGTGTGTGTTTGTCATTTGTGTAGTTCCAACCAGTGCACTCCTTTTGCCAACAGAAAGTGCTATAATGCAGTGCTCGCTCATTATTTGTGTAGTTCCAACCAGTGTGCTCCTTTTGCCAACACAAAGTGCTATATAATACAGTGCTCGCTCATTATTTGTGTAGTTCCAACCAGTGCACACCTTTTGCCAACACAAAGTGCTATATAATACAGTGCTCGCTTATTATTTGTGTAGTTCCAACCAGTGCGCTCCTTTTGCCAACACAAAGTGCTATATAATATAATACAGTGCAATTAGCACGAATAACGAAATTTCGTAAATGCCTTTTGCGCATGCGCTAACGCGGTGCGCCATCTTAACGAATCGATTCGTTATTACGATGCATATAAATAATGAAATTTCGTAAATGCTTTGCGCATGCGCCAACGCGGGCGCCATCTTAACGAATCAATTCGTAAATATTTACGAAATTTCGTAAATACCGAACTTTTTTAAAGGAAAATTTTGTAATTATTTTAAATATCGAAACAAAAAAACCCCCCAATTACAAATCGATTTTAGAAACAAATTTTTCCGTTGTTACCCAGGCCTAATAGATATATGCAAAGAAATTTATAGAGGTTTGGCAGCTATTCAAACAATGGACTTCTGCTGCTCTGAGGGCTGATTTGTATAGGGTGGCCTAGGCTACAATCTATGATGATTGGTGGAGGCATGCTATCCATTGCTGCATCTGATTGGATTCCTTGTCTAGTGAGACCTTTAATAAACTATCATTGTTGTTTGAAATCTGTGGCTCTTTCTTGGTTCCCCTTTCAGTTGATACATGGGAGAAAGAAATGTAGGTAGGGTTTGGGTTGATGAGTGATAATCCTACTGGCCCAGAAGGAACAATGGGTCTGAGTCAGAGAATGAGCGGCAATGGATGATGGCATACCTAGATGGATTCCCAGGAAGGACAAAACCCAGGGTGTTGGGTAACTCCCTGACCTCTTGGTCTGCCTAGAGATTAATTCATTATTTTATTAATTATGCCCATTGCCTGTAGGGATGATCGGATTTGCCCTATGTTCCCCCTGGTATGTCTGTATGTGTGCTTGCAGATCTGGAACGGAGGTCATCTGTGGAGGTAGCTGAACTGGGTTTCTCCTTTGCCGTGGGTTTTGGGGTTCCGCAATTTTGACAACACATCTAACTGTCCTGATTTGGCAGGGACAGATTCAGTTACTTCTCTACCATCCCATGTTTCCTCCTTTTAAAATATCCTGGTTTCTTTCTCTTCCTCCCACTTTTTTCTTTATTCCCATCATACTTCAGTTGCTGCAAACCAAGTTCAAAGTGCAAAAATAGCTTGCACTCAACTGATCAAGTAGGAGAGGACTTTGCCCTCTTCAATTGTTTCAAGCAAAAACAAACTGTTACAGCCTCTCCTATCTTGTATGTTATCCCTCATGCAGGCCTGTAGCGAGGGGGTGGTTTTAGGGGTTCAAACCACCCCCCCGAAATGTTTCAGATTTTTTTAAAAAAACCTGGTTTACTCATGAATTTTAACTGGTTAACCAAATCCCCATGCTAAGTCTATGAGATGCAAAACATTAAGAGTCCCTCCAGAACTGTAAGCACTATCTCAAGCAAATATTGACAATTTATTCACACTGTCATTACTTGCAGCAATAGCCGATGTAGTGAAGCAACCAAGTTGGGTGTGTGTGTGTTGAATGCTCTCATTAAGGAGGCCAGACTTGGTGGAGGTGGTTGACAGGGATGGAGCTGCAGGCTATTGAAGGTTGCTCTGCCCCTGCTGTGCTCTTTGCTTCAGCGTGAGCTAGGAGGCAGGTTTCAACCCCCCCCCAAATTTCAACCCTCCCCAAAATTTTCAAAAACCCTCTCCGAAATTTTCAACCCCCCCCCGCCGAAATTGTCAACCCTCCCCAATTTTTTTTCTGGCTACGGCCCTGCCCTCATGTATTGGTTGTATCATCTTCACCACATTTTAATGTTGCATGGCTACATGTGTCCTGATTTTCATTTATGAAATGTTGGTGGGTACATTATAACAATGGCAATACTCCTCTCACTCACTTAAATCTTGATGATATTGCCTCTGCCTTGGTCCACTCCACATTCTTTGCTAAGCCTCCTCGAAGCAACATCCTGCCTTTTCAGCATTTTCCCCATCCCCACCCTATTGTCTCTCATCTTGAAAGATGAAACTGCAATGCTATAGCTCTGTGGCATTAATTGCCCCATTAATTGCAGCTACAATTCAACTGCTATTGTTTCCTGGGCTCTTTAATTTTTAATCCAAAGCACATTATTGTCATTATTGATATTTTTGCAAAGTCCAGACCAAATGAGACTGAAAGATGCTTCGGCGAAGATGAACATTTGGCATATTATGAGCATAAGAAGGCATGTGTTTAAAATAAAAGGAGGGTTGGGAGGAAAACTTAGGACACCACAAACAATAACAAAGGGCCAAAAAGTCTAATGACAAGGAGAAATCCCAAAGAATTTCTGTCTCACTCAAGGAGAGCTAGAGTTGCCTTATTGCAAGGCAAGGATCTTTAATTAAAGCTGCTAACAAGTTTAACCATCTCCTGAAAGTTAAATAGAAACAGCTTCCAGCCTTTTCATCATGTATCCAATCTCAGTGGGCTGGGTTTGGTTGTGGAAGGGAGGGTGAAACAAGAATTAACTATGTGACTGAATCATTTTTCATGGCAAGAAGAGGACAGCAATTAAGAAGCAAATTAATGTTTGGGCCGGCTGTCCTTTTGGCTTTGAAGCGAGGCAGGATGGGCTTTTGGAGAGGCTGAAGTGTCTCTTGTGACATACCACTCAGGCCCAAATGGCAGCAAATTGGCCCTCTTGTCTTGCTCTGATAGGAAATAGACATTAATAATAATACAAAATCTTTAAGGAACTTTTGAGTCCCTGGGAATGTTGTTATTTGTTTGATCTTTCTTTTTTTCTCTCATTCTTCCTGCACACCAAACGTTTACCCACCCATCCCTTTTCCTTTGTGTTTGACATCTATTTTCAGCTAGCTTTGAACATGTTGCTTTTGACAAAATATTTCCTTGATAAATTTCTTTGCCTTGCCACCCGGTGCTTGCCTCCAGATTCGCCCCTACTGTTATGTTTTTCTTTTTCTTTTCCTGTTTAAAAGACAAAAGCCTTCTAGTACCACTCCTGCAAAATCCTTGTTAAGACAGACAGGAATTTTATGGGAGCAGATATCTGTAGACTGAGGAAACCATCTATACTCATCAGTAATGTCTGATCATTACAGTGCACATTATTCTTGGTATTCCACAAAGCAACAGAGTTAAGAAGTGAGATTACAGCTCAATCGTCCCTATAAGGTGAGGTGATATACAAAACTTTAAAGAAATAAATTACAACTGGTATAATACTGACAACTACCATATACAGTAAAGTCTTGCTTATCCAACGTAAACAGGCCGGCAGAATGTTGGATAAGCAAAAATGTTGGATAATAAGGAGGGACTAAGGAAAAGCCTATTAAATGTCAAATTACATTATGGTTTTCCAAATTAAGCACCAAAACATCATGTTTTACAACAAATCGACAGAACAAGCAGTTCAATACACAATAACATTATGTAGTAATTACTGTATTTATGAATTTAGCACCAAAACAGACAAATGTTCTTTCTTTCTCCCACCCTGGGCATTATTCCAGGCAGGAAAGTAGACTGTGTTGGATAATACAGAACGTTGGATGAGCGAAGTTTGGATAAGTAAGACTCTACTGTATACTCATGTATCAGTCAACCTTATGTATAAGTTGAGGGCAGGTTTTGGTGTCAAAATTATGGATAAACTGAGAGTTCATCTATGGAGAGAAGAAAGCATCAATGCCACCTCAGGCGGCGAGCTGCCCTGGCTGCCACCATTTTCTCACCCAGGCATTCAAAAAAGCCAGAAGTCGCAACATGGCAGAAAGAGACGGGGACAGTGATTCTTTTAGTTTCTCCAGGGTGGACTAAGCTCTTACCTTTTGCCCTTCTTTTCAGAGAAGGGGATAGATCCTCTTTTGGTAAGAGCTAAGGTACAGTACTACTCTCATTCCCCATTCTGAACTTGAAGAAGTCACAATTCCTGACCATTTCTGCTCCCAATGTTTGAGTATGCTTATGCGCTATTAGGCAAATGCCAGCTGTGTTATCCATATCCAACAGTTATGCATGCAAGAACTTTGTTGGGATGACTTCTTCAAAAATGAAAAAAAGAGGACTCAAACAATTACTGTTATGTCAGCCTTACATTAATACTAGGAAAGATTCTACTGCAGATCCTGAAACAGAGAGTCTAAGATTTAGAAAGGCATGCTGTGATCACTAAGAGTTATCATGGATTTTCAAACACAAGTCATGCCAAACTAATCTTATATCTCTTTTTTTTGACAGAGTTCCAAGTTAGTATAACAGTGGAATGCTGGAGGACCACCATTTGTCCATTCTGAATGAAAGGGATAGCAAGCCATGAGCAATCTATGGAATTAGCGATTTTTAATGTGGCAAAGCATTTCTGGATACAGTGGCCTAGGAAGAAGTGCCAAATGGGCTCCATGGATAGCTCAGATGTTCCAGGGGAGCCTATATCTGAACAAGGGTAGCCTCAGCTGGCTGGTGGTCTTCCTTGGTTGACCACTAAGACTCTGGTAAGAAGAATGAACTAATCTGTTTACTTTTAATGGTTTGTTTAATTGTTTATTATGTTATTATTGCTATTTTTACTTTGGAGGACACCCCGAGTTCCCATGGGGAGAGAGGATGGGTTAAAAATAATGACTCTTCTTCTTCTTCTTCTTCTTCTTCTTCTTATTATTATTATTATTATTATTATTATTATTCTTATTGTGAAATACATGATTTCAGGTAGCATTCCTTATGATATTCTTGCAAACAAGCTAGGAATGTTTGGGTTAGACAGTGCTGTTGTTAAATGGTTTTGTAATTGGTTGCCAGTTAAACCCAAAGGTGCTCACCAGTGGCCCTTCTTCAGTATTGAGGGAACTTTGCCACCAAGTTCTGTTGGGGGCTCAATTCTAATCAACATTTTTATAAATGACTCAGGTAATGGAGTAGAAGGTATTCTTATGCAAGTTGCAAATTACTACAAAGAAGGAGGGATAGCTAAATACTCCAGAGGACAGGATCAGAATTCAAAATCACCCCTAGCAAATTGGGCAGGCATGCAGGGCATCTCGTGGTGTCCCGTGCATGCTCTCCTCCTTCCCCCATCACATGGGGGGGGGGGGGGATGGGACAAGGCACGTTGGTGCCCTGTCTCCATTATGTGGGTGAAAGGCAACGTAGCTGAGAACAGCGTATCTGGAGGCGATTGGGGTAAACTGTAGGGGTGACGCAGATATTTGAACTGGCTTGGGATTGTCTGTTTTAACCTTTGTTTTAACCTTCATTTTTAATTTTTGTGGTTTGAAATTTTACCTTGGCATTTTAATGATGATATTTTAATTACCTTTTAACTTAATCAAGTTTGAATGTATGTTAGTTCACTATTATGGGAGTCTTAGGATAGTGATTATTGTCTATTTGTGTACGTTTCTGTTTCTGCTTTTAATGTTGATACGGTCAGTGGACTAATCAATAAACTTTGCTTGCTTGCAAGAAGTGGAGGGGCTTCACCCCGCTTGGGCATAGAGAGCAGGACAAGAGGAGGACTATGCCCATTCCAACCAAATGACTGCTGGAACATTTGGAAATGAAGTGGAATGCACCATGTGGGTGAAAGGGCAGCAATGTGCATTGCCACATTGCCTTTTCCCCCATCAGATGGAGGAATGGGCAACAAAAATGTGGGTAGCTCCATTGGAACTACACAAAATACGCTTTCCTCCCTGTGGTGACAGAGGAAGCATCTTGTGACACTTCCCCTCCACTTCAGGAGGAATAGGGGCAGGGCCAAGCCAGCATCATCTGACGGTCTTCGGCAGGCCCTGTCCTAAAAAGGCAAAACGGGCCATTTCAACTCCAATGTGATGATGTCGTATGAGCTATTCCAAGTGGAATATGCTGTCTTGGATAAAGTCTTCCTCTCTGGAGGTTTTTAAGCAGAGACTGGATGGCCATCTGTTGGGAGTGTTTTGATTGTGTATTCCAGTATTGGGAGGAGAGAAACTGGATGAGCATTGTGGTCTATTCCAACTCAGTCATTTTTTGATCCTATGATTATTTAGGTCTCCAGTATCACAAACTCCACATGGCATAGTATATCCCATGCCTTCCCAGATAGTTTTTAAACTATGAATATTAAACTCATGTCCTTTGTTTAATGTCTCTTTTGTGTACTATAATATGTATTTTATAGAAATGCAGTTTTATAGAAATATGTATAGCTGTTGAATTTTTGCAGTGTTCATGTTTTTTAATTGTGTTGTAACCTGCCTCGAGTTGCGGGGAGGGGCGAGTAAGAAATAAAGTTGTTGTTGTTGTTGTTGTTGTTTTGAGACAGACATCTTTCTTCTCAGATACAATGACATAAGTCAATCCATTGGTATGTTCCCCTAATATTGTGCCCATAATCTGCACCACTCAAATGCAGGAACCATGGTCCATATATTTACTATGCCTCTTATTCTTCCCCTTCCAGTGAATAACCTTTCTTTTGTGAACACAATCAGTTTCACTGAGATCTCTGCTTAATTAGAAGAATAATGCAAATAAATAAAAAAGGAACTGAGACATAAAATTAATTGAAATTGTCCAGCAAAGAAACAAGTTATCCATATCTTCTTGTGAAAGGGAAGAAAAAGGAAAAAAAATAGTAACAATGAATAATGAGAAATGGTGGATCCTGAAAATTGCTTAACTCTTTCCTTTCCTTTCCTTTCCTTTTATATTCAGCCAAGTTGGTTTCTAATCATGGGAAAATGCTGGACTTGGTGTACTGCCCTGCCCTTGTGATTAGTTAGAAACACAAAACAATTTCCTTGGAATCTGTGCCCATTTCCTCTTGGAACAAGCTATGAACGAGGGTTTCCTTACTGCCACAATTCCCACCCATATCTTCCTGAGCCCACCCTTCCAGGCCTCAGAAGAGCACTTAGAAATAGGTCCAGCTCCCCTTGAAGCCTTTCCCTTGCTCATCCAGGAGTTTTTTTTAAAAACATGCTTTTAGTTTGCTTTTTCCATAAATGGAAGAGGAATCTTCACTCTAATTCAAAGAAAGTGCAAGATGGAAAAGACAACAAAGCACATTTAGATTGCTTTTGGTTTCCTTTTTAGCTCTAGTGGCTGATCGAGTAGAACTATGAGGCTGAAGGAAGGGAGTGAGCGAATGAGGGGGAATAATTTTCAAAAGCAAATGCAATTTATTTTGTACAGAATGTACCAAGGTTGTTTTTTTTTTTTTTGCTTACTTGCTGTGCTTAGAAGATATGGTGCTAGAAAATGTTTGAAGTTAATTGATCAATGCACATACAAAAGTAGAAACTTATTTGTATAGTGCTACTGTGGCAACTAATGGGATGTATGTTAATGGGATGGTAAATTGCCTGTAGATTTTAGCTTAAACTTTAATGTAGCTCCACAAAGTACTGGTTATTCAGAACTCGGGGAGCCCCTTTAAAGTTTGGACTAAAATTTAGAATATTTTCTCCACTCCACCACCATGGAACCCATCAGCCACCACTGCTGTAATGCACGTGTATATACTAAATGTTTCATTGTGGCAGCACAGGGAAATTCTGGGAAGACTGCGTTTTCAGGAGTCGGGTGCTACCCAACTCCCAATGACAGAAGATGGAGAAAAGCTAGACAGAAGCAGGGAAAGGCGGGGAAAGGACGAGCGGTGGCTCCCATCCCTGAAGACAGAAAGGCACAAGACCTTGATGGTTGGGAATGAAAGAGATGGTTCCCTCCGCTTTTCCCTGTGTTCATGTGATGAGGTCCTAAGTGAAGCAAATGAGACTGAGAGTGAGTGTAAAACTGTCCTAAAAATATTCAATAAAGTCTATGAATGAGTGAAAGTCTATTGGGTGTCTATTTAATAATTATAAGGAGGAGTCTAGCAGAATGAACATTAAAGTGACAGTTCAGAGTATTCACTCCCCTCTTTCTTAAATGTGCATACAGAACATTGTACCCAAATTTTATGGCCTTCTTACTCCAGTATGCATGAAAAAAATGCAGGGTCAATAGTTAATAATTTAGCAGTAGTCAGCCACTAAACATTACTCAGATACATGAAGAAAATTCATTTAGGTGACCTCATTAAGAAAGAAATCATCACAAAATACAGGTTACCCAGGCATTTGATACCACAATACTACAATTTACTAAGCTATTAAATGAGTTACTGGGGAGGTTACCTGAAATGTCCCTCATATCCATCTATGAATTCACTTTTCTTCTTCATATTTTAAGGAAGTTCTCTTCACTTCTATTGGGTGATAGGTTTCCCACAACTGGCTCTTCCATTATTAGCTGGAAAGAGGAGTAAAAGTTCCATGTTCAATATGGTGTCAATGTGTGGAGATGATTGATAGGGAGCTAAATGCCCTAAAGCCACGAGATGAACCTGGAAATTAAAAACACCAGTGAATAGTAGGTGTTGTAGGCTACATATCAGAAGAAAGAACTGACATAGCCACTTCTAACTACCCATTGCTTATAATTCATAGGTAAAGGTAAAGGTTTTCCCCTGACATTAAGTCCAGTCATGTCCGATTCTGGGGTGTGGTGCTCATCTCCATTTCTAAGCCGAAGAGCCAGTGTTGTCCATAGACACCTCCAAGGTCACGCGACTGGCATGCCTGCATGGAGCGTCGTTACCTTCCTGCCGGAGTGGTACCTATTGATCTACTCATATTTGCATGTTTTCAAACTGCTAGGTTGGCAGAAGCTGGGGCTGACAGCGGAAGCTCACGCTGCCCCCTGGAATCGAACCTGCGACCTTTTGGTCAATAAGCTCAGCAGCTCAGCACTTTGACCCACTGCACCACTGGGGGCTCCATGATATTAATAAGATTGTCATAAATCAAGAGACAATTTGATTTGCGTTTCTTTGGGCCTCATCACATTAGAGAAAAAAATCCACTTAAAATCTGGTTTCTGCCTCCTGCATATTTCTGGGGTTTGTAGTTTAAGGAGGAGCCTTTAATAGCCTCACTAAACTTCAAGTGGATTTTTTCTCTAGTGTGATGAAGTGTTTTCCAGAGCTTAACATACCACTATTTCTGTGGTGATTTCCCCTTGATTTGCAGAAAAAACTGGATTTAAAGACAGGTCTTAGGATACCACTATTGCTGTGGTGCTTGCTCCTCAATCTGCAGAAGAGAACTGAATCCGGCACAGTCTGGCTTTAGGCCGGGACATGGTACCGAGACAGCCTTGGTCGCCTTAGTGGATGATCTTCGCCGGGAACTGGACAGGGGGAGTGTGTCCCTGTTGGTTCTGCTGGACCTCTCTTCGGCCTTCGATACCATCGACCACGGTATCCTCCTGGGACGTCTCGCGGGAATGGGCCTTGGGGGTACTGCTTTGCAGTGGCTCTAGTCCTTCCTTGAGGGGTGTTCCCAGAAGGTGTTGCTAGGGGACTCCTGCTCGACCCCGCAGCCATTGTTCTGTGGGGTCCCGCAGGGCTCTGTACTGTCCCCTATGTTGTTTAACATATACATGAAGCCATTGGGAGA